TTGACCTTCCTGCAGACATCTCTGGGCTAGATTTGGCTTCAAGGGTTATAAAAAGTGCAATCGTTTAGTTTAATTTAGTTTAGTTTAGTTTAGTTTAGTTTAGTTTAGTTGTGTTGTGTTGTGTTGTGTTGTGTTGTGTTGTTTAGTTTAGTTTAGTTTAGTTTAGTTTAGTTTAGTTTAGTTTAGTTTAGTTTAGTTTAGTTTAAGCAGTTTTCCCTCCCTTTGGGACACTTCCCTCCCTTTGGGAGATTTGGCTATATTTTTAGTGCAATTGTGGTTTTAAGTCCTACAGTCCCTGGGTGGACATCCCAGAGGGTATATAAAACAATGCCAATCTCTCTTCTGCTCAGTTGAAAAGAAGGTGGTCCATAGATAGAGGGACACATCTATCCTTGCAATTCTCCTTGGTGAGAAATCTCCTTTACCTTGATGCTTTGTCAAAGTGCTCTGATGGTGATAAAGTTAAAAAGTTGACATACTGTGACATACTTTGAATTGCCAGATATAAACACCTCAATTTCCATCAGTATGCCCCCCAAACAGGGAATAAAAACATCAGCTTTGGACTCTGACTCGTTTTTTAATCTTGGCAAGACTTGGATTTTTTGCATATATGTTGTTTTTGTATTCAAGAGGCACATAGAGAATACTTCACCAGCACTGCTTTTGTCAAAGTCACAACTAATTTTGCACAACAGGTACATAATTTTTGAAGATTTCACTATCAGTACAGAATGAAATATTCTTTCTTTGATACAGCAGAGCCTGCTTACTGTTAGAGTGTAATGCTCAGCTGTAAGTTTTTCAACATAAATGCCTTCTTTTTTAAAGATAGTATCTAATTATTTATAATACTTCAGTACCATTCTCCAGGGGAGCAGTGTACTAAGGGCAGAGGTACTAAGGGAGCTCCAAATTACTTTATTATATATTTTTAAAAAACCTCTTTCTTAAGTGTTCTGTTATAATGCTATTTTATTCTAATCTTAAAATACAAATATGTGGGGAATTCACAATATTAAGTTTGTAATGATCTTAGTATAGATACAATTTTGGATAAGCTGTTTAGTTTCCCTTTGCTTCATCCTTGATCCAGTAGTGCCTGAAATTTCCTTTAGTGAATGCCTAAAGCTTCAGGAGCACTCAACTATATCTGGATTTGGAGGCATGCTAATATGGCAGCTGATTTGTACAAGTGAACTAGCTGGTTTGTTGAACAGGAGTAGCCCATCTTGTGAAGTTTGACTTCTTTTTATCTCTTATTTATTGCATCAAGAAGCAAGATCAGCCATTAGTTTCTGAACTCAGTGTTATACACATCTACATATCATAAAATGTGGATACAATTTATCTATTATATTTTTTATCACTATGTTTTTCCAAAGAACTCAAAATTGTGTGAACGGCCTTTCTTTCATTATTTTATCCTCATACTGTAAAGAGAGTTGTGACTGAAATATTGTGATTGACTCAAATTAATCCAGTATTAAACCCAAAGCCCCTAAAGTTTTGTATCCTGCTCTTGAAAGAGATACTCAGACAAGAGATTCAGGAACATCTAGGGTATAGTCTATATGAATTGAAAGTTGATCTCAGATTATTTTCTGCTGGGCAACAAGGAGCTAGAGGACTAGTATGGATGAAGAGGCATGAGCATACATATGGCTCCAGGAACCCCTGTTTGGTTCTCCAAGTGCTAGTTGACTAATCCAACTAGTCTTTAAATGTTTGCCTAATTTCATATGTCTTTGCAGTTGTACAAACATGTGAATAATGAAATGTATCTCCTAGACATAGTAAACATGCATAAGAGTGGGAAAAATATACTCTGTATCAACTGATGAAATATATTGAAGAGTTATTGCGATTGTACATTTGGCATGCTGCCAATTGATAAATCCTTCCAATACTTTCAGTTACCCTTAAGATGTACACTTACAATTCTTAAAAATCTGTATCTGTACAAAACCTGGCCATACATAGAGGTTCTTATTTCACTTTATTATAGCTTCTCCAGAAGATACTGACCTGGTATAGAGTATGAAGAAGATGATCTTAAAGGATATAGGCAAGAACCATTGTATAAGCAAAGAGGACTAAAACATTCCTTAAGTTCTGGGGAAGCAAGGTAGTATTCAGAAGAGACTCAGGCAGGCTTCTCCCTGATTCATTGGGATATAAGAGGGAGGAAAAGTTCGGGTAGTCCTTGCTTACTGACTGCCTTGTTTAGCAACTATTCGAAGTTACAACAATGAAAAAAAAATCTTTGCAACCAGTTCTTGCATTTATGAACATCACAGCATCCCGTGGCCATGCGATTGCCACTTGGACACTGTAACCAGCTTGTAACAAACAGAGTTAGTAGAGAAGGAAGAAGTAAAATTGTAAGTCACATGATGTTTTGCTTAATGACCACAGGACTTCACTTTACAACTGAATGGGAAATAAGGTTGTAAGCCCATCACGGTCACATGATTTTCCACTTAGCAACCATGGCATTTAGCGACTGAGTTGCCAGTCCCGATTGTGGTTGCTAAGCAAGGACTACCTATAAAGCACTGTTGTTGTATACTCAATAAAGTGTAGTTCTAGTCCTCCTATAGAATCAGTTTCCTGATCTGATCTATCCTGAAAGGCTAACACCTTCAGAGAAAAATTGGGGAGATATAATAAGGAACAGGTAGAGGAAGCTCTTGAAAACTTAGAAAACATTTGCATGGTCTAGATTTGCTCTTTACTGTTATATATATTGGTATGATATTTATATGTCAATGTTAGATATATTTGTATGAACTGAGGCAGACAGTCTAATTATACAACAACCCTATAACGTAAATTTGTATGACAATAACCAATCCTTCAGCCACCCAGTAATTTGCATTGCCAGTTAACAACTTGATATCGGTTTTGTCAATCTAATGGCCATATTGTCTTGGAATTCAGAAAGCTGCAGTCCCAACTCATCAGAGATTAGATGGGAAAGGTGGTCTTGTGTCATTGATCTATTGAGGACAAATGCATCATGTTTATTTGGGGCAACTGCTTATTTGATATAATTGATCAAGCAATAATGAACTTAACTGGCTATAGGGAGTAAAGAAATGATATTGACAGAGAAATCCAGGAACAGTTACATAGGCAGAATGGGCTGAAACATTTTTTAAGTCCATAACAGCCAGAAAACATTCAGAAGCAACTCAGACAGAAGTCTCCCTAATTCATTGAACTGTAAGGAGGAAGAAAACGTATAGCACAATCAGACTTGTGAGATTGTTATTATAGCCACTCTCAATAAAAGTAGTTTTAGCCTTCTTGTGGAGTTGATTTCCTGGTTTGGACTATCTAGTGGGGCGGACACTGGTTTTCATGTTTCTTTTATTTTTAGGAGTGTTTAAAGGCAAGTGAATACAAAATGTCTGTTAAAACCCCTAACATTGCTTTATTTGCTTACATTTTGACTGAAAGATATTTCTCATCATGTACAGACCCTAGTTCTAGTCATCTAAATGATTCATTCTGGATTATACACTACAGGCTTATGACTGTGAGTTATTTATGAACTTTATGTTCTAAAGTTGAGAAGTATAATAAATAGAAAATTTATTTTACACTGTTTCCCTCTTGTTCTTGGACAGCCAAGTAGCTCTGGTTGTGCCAGATTTCTGAAACTAGTATTAGCAATTAGTAAATCACTTGGGAAAAATTAGTCAAGCATTTTGAAAAAAAAATCATTATGGAGCATACTTATCTTTATAAGAACGTATGGTAAAATTAACATGTTATAACTGAGAACCAATTTGGATGGCTACTGTAGGGTGCTTCAGGAGCATGTTCATTATGCATTTACACTGCCTGATTCAAAGGAACAAATTTTAAAATCAAGGTGATATGGAAGAAAGAGGAGGTTCATTTTTTTTTTAATGCTATTTACTTTGACTGATGGATTATCAACACTTCATAAAACAGAGAGGGTTGTTTGCTGTAAGACATGATTCTTGTCAAGCTAAAATCAAAAGGAAGGCTGTTCATTGCCAACAAAAACAGACTTTTTTCCTTATACAGGGCAGCAAGTAACCCCAATCCCAAAGTATGTATATCATGTGATCAGGATCAAGAAACATCCTCTTGTTTTATTCATTTCTCTTCTCTTTCTTCCTTGGTCACAATTGGGTGATGATATTTCATGGTGCTTGACTGCCTGTTATTCCAAAAAGCATGGACTGTTTTCTACATGACAACTCTTTGAGTACTTGAAGACAATTATTGTGTCTCCCCATAATCTTCTCCAGATTAGATACTTCCAACCATTGTTCATATTTTTTTCCTCCCAGGATCCTTATCATTCTTGATTTCTCTCTCCTGGACATGTTCCACTTTATATGTGTTTTCCTAAAATGTAGTGGCCAGAACTTTATTCAACATGTGCTCTGAACAATGTGGAACACCGAGGAACAATGACATCTTTTAATCAAATAAATAGGCTTTATGTTTGTTTCCGGTGTTCTCTTCTGCATTGAGGACATGACTAGATTTCATGGGCTAAATTACAGGAGGGTAGATTTCATTTGAAAGTTAAGAGTAGCAATAAGAGGTTAAACAGTAGAATCAGTGATTACGGTGGGTGTGTTATTTCTCTGCTGAGGCCTTTCAAGTATGTTCAGCTCTGGATTTATTTAACTTTAAAAATTCTGTGCCATCTTTCAAAATTATATTGTGATTGTGTGCTTAATTTATATCCCATCTTTCTACCCACAGTGCACTCAGGCAGGGGCAAGATGGCAGCCGCAACTGTGACAGAAGTCCTGCCCTTTTATACATGCATTGCATTCACAGCTCACAGAAAAAAGGACAGTGTTTTGGTTACATATTTGCAAATGCCGCCTTGACATTTTTCACGTGTGCACACACACACCCACACACCACAGAGGCCTCTACACTCAGGGAAATAAATGTTTTATTCAGAGAAACGACAAAGGTTTTAAATTCAATCTAATATTAAACTGAAAACAGAAGCTACAAATATATACATTCAATCAAAAGTAAAATAGGACACCAGATTGGAGAAGAGGGGTTTTATATCTTTTAATTTTTTTAAAAAAACAGAATAGGTGGGTGGTCACCTAGAGGCATATCTATCTGTCTGTCTGTCCTTCCAAACAAATGTATGTACCTATATGATATCTATAAACCCAGCAGTTTAAAAAACATAAAACTATTTTAGGAAATCCATTGCCGTTTAGCAGCTACAGCCTACTTGTGAAAACAGGATGTAGCACTAGCAGTGTCAACTGATACAAGCTATTTCATTAGAACTCAAATTGATATCAGTTGTTATCTGTAAAGCCAAATATGGAGATCAGATAATAGCATTTACCCTTAAACAATAAATACCATGTTTGTGATATCACAATACTCTCCCCAGCAGTAGCAGACTAATACTTTATAGTTTAAAGGGGAAGAGATGGATGATACAGGGCAGGGGCAAGTAATCATTCCTCCTTTACACAAGAGAACAAACTTATTGTATTCCTAAACACCTCTCATGCCTTTTGCCTAGACATGCAAGAAATGTGTCTTATTTGTTTTGTTTCTAAAAATAGGCTTGTAAGGGTTCTTAAAATCCACATAAAAGGACATTTCAGCACATTGACCTCCAGAGCTATAGGCTGTGACGTTAATATACATAATATATACAAATGCAAAAAAGTTGTGAAAGAGTCATGGGAGACAGATATTTAGACATTCAAATAAAGTCCAGGATAGAGCTCTTCTTCTGTCCACATACTTTAGGTGCATTCATTCCTTTAAAGACGTAGTAAAAGGAGAGCCATATTAACCTACGGTAGCCAGAAATCAGAAGGAGACAGCTCACAAAAGCTTAAATAAAATTTGTTAGTCTGAAAAGGTGCTACCAGACTCCTCCTGATCATCCCTTGGCAGGAAAAGAAAGGTTGTGTAATCTCCACTGTACATAATAAGACTACCCTGAGTAAACATGCATTTATATTTAGATTATTTGTCTAAAAACCCCCCGAATGATCAAACACTTGAAGTAAGCAAAATATTCCATGCTAGTCTTTCGCTTGCCTGTGGGGTATGCCAAACAGTTTTCAGTGGACATACAGTATCTTTACCACCCATGCAATTAACTTGACCTGTGCCTCTCCAGCCTGTATCTAATTGTGTCTTCAGTGCAAGATATCACATTTGCTCTCATTAAGTAATGGTAGAGCAACAGTGAACTCTCTCTCTCCTAAGAAAGTTGGAAAAGCTGTCCTATATCAAGTCAAAGACATTATCTAATCCAGTATTCTGCTGCTGCCCCCAGGAACCAACCAAATGTTCAGGGAAACTCAAAAGCAGGATATTAAAACAACCCCTTATGTCAGCTGTTCCCAAGCAGGTGGTAATTTGAGATACATAGAGAGTGAAAAGCCCTCATGGGTAGTAGGCACTATTAGCCTTACCATCCCAGAATGTAACTGCCAGCAGTGCATCTGAGTATACTATGGAAATATGCTGCTTATATTTCATAATGATTTTGTGACCAATACTCATCTGATAATACATGTAAAGATTTTTATACAAACTGTGTATTTCTTGCCCCCTTGTTGTTGCATAAGTGGTTTTTCCTCTCTCCTCTTTAAAAATATGATGGTACAACTAGTAAAACCAAAGATTTTTCAAAATCGCTCAGCCCCATATTGTCTCTTAAGAGAGGAAATTATTAACAGACCTTCACCTGAACTTTCATTTATCTTGCTGTTGAGCATAGAACAGCATTTACTGCTCTCTCCAATGTTCTTGTAGGATAGGATGGGTTAACCTACTCCAACTTCATACCCTGCAGATGTACCCAAATCACAGTGTGCATGATTCCCAGATGGAATTTGAAGATTTGCAGTTCTATCACATCTAGAGGGTGGAAAGGCAGGGATAGACTGCAAAACGGGGACTTATCCAAAGTTGCTAAGCATTTGGATCCCTGTACTATGAGAAGATCAGAAGAATGCTGAAAACTGAAGCATAACTTTTTAAACCATTATTTATTGTCACATCTAAATTCAGGTGTGCCTTTAAAGCTACCAACACAATGTTGTTTTGCCCACACAGAGTGCCAAGTATTAATCTCAGACCACACCCCTACCTGTAAAATAACCATTCAATGGAATATCCACAGCCAACAAGTAACTTAATATCCTTTTGTCAAACTCTGTTCTGTTATGAAGCATTATGATAACCAAAACAATAGTATTAGAGTTCAGATATCAAATGCAAAACAACTAGTTTCAAATACTTCTGTGTTTTATAGTAAAAAGGACAATAATTTATATAGAGAGACGCCATTCTTTTCTGTTTTTCTTTGTTCCTCTCTTTACAATTTCTTATCTTCAGAAAAAATTGCCAGTGTTACTTCTATAATATCAGCTCCAATTCAATTATGGGTTGCAACCCACCAATGAAGACTAATGGATTGGTGGAGCTTTTCCTACCTGGGGGGCTTCCAGATGCATTGGGACTCTGCAAATTACCACACATGTGGTAAGAAATTTGGAGGCTGTAATCCCAACGGATATGGAAGGCATTATTTGGGGGAAGGATGATTTAGAGGGAAGCCTATTATGATCTTCAATCTTAGTATGGTCAGATCATTCAATAATAATGCAGTCTATCCTACCACAGTGAAACATAGCATTTTGCACAGTTTTGTCAGTAATGTAAATAACTATGTTAAAAAGAACTTTTCTGTTTTTTTTCTTAATCAGCATCACATTATCAAACGTTAATTTGAATTCTTCCCCCCCCCCTTTTTATTGTCAAGTTGAATTATTTTTCAGCATCTTTACTTTGATTTTAATATATAATGTTCTTAATTTTTTAAAGCCAAAGCCAACTGAAACTGTCACAACTGATGAATCTGGGGTAAGATAGTAAACTAACCCCAGTGATTGTATCTCTACTTAAGTTTATTCTTTTTACCATTCTTTTCTCCACTGGTTTTTCTGTATTTGTTCTCCTAGAAAAATGTATGCAGTGATTTGGATTTGTTGTCAGTGTACCTATCAAGCTGTACTACAGACAAATTCAACTTGACCCTATTAACAATGTGGAAAGCTTGGAAATGCATGTGATGTGTGAAGCATTTCTACAGATTCTATGTACTAGCATGTAATTTTTTCCTGTCATATCTTGCTTATAAAGTTGAAAAGGACCCAGAAACACATATTCAGATCTTACCTCTTTCACCTTTGCATTTGTTATTGTTTTTCTTTTCCTGAATTGTTTGTGTTCTGTCTTTTACATGGTTTGATTTCTGTATAATACCCTTATAGAACAGTGAAGACAGTGCTAGAATCTCCATCACATTTTTCCGTCTATTCCGAGTTATGAGATTGGTGAAGCTCCTCAGCAGGGGAGAAGGAATACGAACTTTATTGTGGACATTTATTAAATCATTTCAGGTATGTGTAACATTTAAAATCATAGCTTCTATTGGAGTCAAAATACAATGTAGTACGAATTGTACAGGGATCCAGAAGAAACTATAGTCAATGGTCATGTGTAATATCAGAAGGTTCAATATCTCTGTCTGTCTCGGTGTATACAGTATATGTATGTGTCTGTGTGTATGCATACATATACATGCATATCTATATTTGCATCATAATGATTGGGATATATATTTGCATTATCAGTACCTGCAAGGATCTGATTATGTGTATGGATCTGAATAATCATTATCTACATAGCATTTAAATTGTGTCCATTGCTTTGCAGTTCTGATTAATGTTTACAACAACCTTGTGAGGCATGTCTTCTGGGTGCCCATGATTACAGACTGGGCATAATAACCTGGTTTGTAGCTGTTGCTGTTACTCCAACTATGCTAATTCTTCATTCAGATTTCCTGCCATCATATTCCCGAATTGTTCAACAGGATGGAAATTACTAATTAAAACAATTAGTAATTTTGGGATACTAGTTTCAGAAGCGTTTATTAATCATAAAGTGTAATCCTATATATGTTGTTTTAAAATTAGATGCATTGAGTTTAAAGAACTGTATTTCCAAGTAGGCCTTGGGATAGTGAATCACTGAGGGCAATGATTTGTACAAACTCCCCCTCACCACCACCTCATGCATGTAAGATACAGAGAAAAGTTCTCATAGTGACTTTTTTCTTGATTGTTATGCAACATGAAGAATAGATATAAATTCTGACCTAGCTGAGGAAGGCCACCCCCACCCTCATACACATATCTGACTCCTGGTAAACATCACATCCTTCCTGCATTTATCCAATTAATAACTTTTAAAAGGAAAGCAAGGTATAAACTGTTCATAAAGTATATTGAGAAGTTTGACTCTGTCTTCAGTTTGAGCTGACAAAAAATTCTTTACATCTAAAGAAAATTTAATGTGATTAGTGGCCATAACTTAATGTGACTTCAGTTCTCCAATCTCACTTAATGTTTGATTGTGGGAAAGTGGAAATAATCTGCCATCTATAACATAAATATAGTTTCAAAGTGCCCTCCCCCCCAATTAATGTGACTGCTAGCAGTTTGTACAGTATAACTGCACAGTTAGAGGTTTTTAATGTCTTTGGGAGCAGGAAGTGGTTGGTTGATTGATACTTTCCAGTTTGCATATAATTAAATAATACATTCTCATTCTCTGAAATTTTATTTATTTATTTATTTATT